CTTGTTTTTTTTTTGAGCAGAATAGAACATTCTCGTTACTACTTCTTTTGTGCATGTATAACTCGATATCTTCTCAAATTGCGAATTAAATTTAAATTTCCAATATCAAATAGTCTTTATTTAAATATACTTCTTTTCAAGCACTTTTAAATCGTAATTTTTTTTAATCTATTGTAGGGTTCGGAAGGTTGTTATCTGTTGAGAAGTCCCCAGAGGGAGACTTTGTACAAAAGTCGATTGCTTGGGTACCTCTGTCCCATTCGAGTTTCGCTCATGATACCCCTATGCGTTGCCATTCCTGAAGCTTCAGGTGTTGTTCCTTTGTACCCTGTAAATTGACTGTTATATCCCACCCTTCAACCGAAACACGACCATGCAAACAACTGTTTCACGGTTGAAACACGAATGTTAGTTAGGATAAATATACCATTTATTCAAATCCTTTCAGTCGTTTAAGCGTAATTAAATAACAAACATCCAAACATACAAAATGTCTTACAAGCTTTCATATTTATAATACAGGATGTCCACATATTGAATTCTTTAAATCAAAACAAGTAATAAAGTAGGCAGTAGTTCATCATATGTATGTATGTATTTTTATATGTAGGTATTAAAATATATGTTAATTTTATGAATGTTTGTATGTATGTAATTACCATATTATACTAATACATAAATAACTTTGTTTCTTTAAACCGCCATCGAGTATTTCTGCACATCCTAAATGGTGGAGAATGCCTGTAGCATTAATTTCGCCTTTTGTACCACATTTTATTGGTGAATAAAGTTTAAATAAATAAATCTTTTTTCTTTCTCCTCTATCCAAAATTTGTCCGGTAGAGATTGCTTTAGCGATAAGACCTCCTTTTGTACTTCATAAGTGTAATATATATTTATATTTTATTATTCTCTAAGTGATGCAATAAAGAGTATATAAATAAAAAAAAATTGATGTTTGAGATTTGAAAATTAAGAGGGCAAGCCTCCACCAAGATCCAAACCCGGAGCACAGCTGTCAAGCAGTCGTACACGACATCCGCAATGCCGGAAGTGACGCTGCGTTTATTGATTTGCCCCAGTTTCCCGTGTACCTACGTGCACAGAGCGCCGAAAACCTTTAATGCACGCCGACAGTGGAAAAGCGTTGCGTATTTGTTCTTATTTCACCGGATTATAGGTTACACACGATTTATATATATATATATATATATATATATATATATTCTTTATCGCACTTGAACAAAATATACAGCGATTAGTTTAACAACTTGTTAGCAATGGCGGGCTTATCTCTAAAAGAGATCTCTTCCAGCCAACCCAATGCAGTTAGAAAGAAAATATTTTTTGTGACGCTTAAAATAAATCTATGTACATACATCGAAGATATAAGTAGGCACTGGTTTTTTAATAGATGATAATGGATTTTCAAAATAATTGAAAAATTTGCAAAATATACTATTAATTACTTAAAAAGTAATCTATTAGCGAATTAATACGTTAATTACGTAATAATATTGTTCTCCAGCTGTCAATGAAAATTTGGATTTAATTGACAAAAGTTTTTATTTAATTAATTATTTATTTATTAAAACTTTTGCGATGAAAAAGCTTTTACAGGTAAATCATATTGTGTATTTAAGAATATGTGTAAATAACGCGAAAATTTAAAAATTTAATACACTTATAAAGTGTAAACGGCGGACTTAACACCATGTGTTTATAAATATACTGGTTATTTTTAATTATGTCGCTGTATATTAATTTTATTAAATTTAAATGAAAACGTCGTCTGTTGACGTGATGTACTATGTTTTTTTTTTTTGTTACTATTAATTTGTTTTCTATTTTCTTGTTTTATAAAAACTTATTTAAAGAGGCAACGAGCATGCGGTTCACCTGACGGTATGTGACTACCACCGCCCATGATTACCCGCAACACCAGAGACATTGCAGGTGTGCTGTCTGTCTTTCAAAAAGGAATTCTATTTTCTTGAAGGTTACGATGTCGTATCGGTTTGGAAATGCTGTTGCTGGAAGTTGATTCCAAAGAGTGTTTTTTTTAGTGGATGATAATGGAATGGTAACCCTGCCTACACTATCAGTATACACTGGCAGGGCACCAGTGTGGGATGACAGACGAGAATGAAGCAGGTCAGTTAGCCTACCGTGACGAATCTAACAATAAATCAATCACGATGGTTTCCAAGGGGAACCACGAGAAGGTCAATCTGACAGGGTATATTGCTAGCAATGGGGCTACTAATCCCCATTACTAAGAATCCCTTCTCCCTCCTCCAAAAAGTGATTTTGCGTAGAAGAAAGCACATTTCTAATAAAGTGTATTTGAAATATTCTTAAGAAAAATATGAAATAGGTGCAATGTACCGCATTCGAGTATTCTGACACTTCCCTATGGTTGACTGGGAGAGAATGCTTTTAACATTAAGTCCGCCATGTACACATATCGTCATAGTCGTAGAATACTGACGGATCTGACAAAGATTACATATAAAGATCCGTCAGTATTCTACGACTATGACGATATATGTACTAATGAATAAATAAATAAATATTTATAGTGATAAATTTATACGCAACGTATTCTACGATTACCGTTTTAGTTCGTTAGCAGAGCACTTTTTAAATGATCGATTAGAAACATTGAAATTGATTATTCTTTTAAGGCTGACATATGATGACGACGTTGCCATATTTCTCCTGTAAGCAAAAGTACGAACGATCTTAATGAAATGTGATCCATGGATTTTCCATGGTACTTGGTTACAGATAATAATACTTAGAATCGTGCCATCGTACAGAGGTTTTCAAACTTTCAAGATAACAAAACACCCTTTAAATACCTTTTATTTTATGAAACAATAAATAATTACAAATGAAAGATACTGTAATTCAAGTGAGACCAAAAACTTTTATTACAAATATTGTTATTTTATTGCAAATGTCTTTGCACTTACTATGTACACATGTTTGCAAATAAATTTATCTTTATCTTTATTTTAAAAGTGAAACAAAAGAGTGAAATTGTTTCACTGATTTACACCTACCTACTTACATCATCATCATTATCATCATATCTGCCTTTAACTGTTCACTGCTGAACATAAGCCTGCCCCTTGGATCGTTTTGCCAGTAGTTGCCACGCTTGGTAAGAGGATTGGCAACCGCAGTTAGGCTTCAGAGATTTTTTAAGAGAGGCGCTGCTGCTCATTCCTCAGTCTCCCTTAGTCGCCTCTTACGCCACCCACGGGAAAGGAAGCGGATGGCCTATTCTATGCCGGGACCATACGGCTTAATTACATACCACCTATTTACATAACAGGAATAAATTATACTCATTATGTATTTTGAGTTATTTCAAAATTATATTTGTAATTAACTGTGATATTATTTGACAGATCGAAATTCATAATTTCCCAGACCTTTGGTGATTTTTCTATGGAACCACTAGATTGCGTGGAATCCACTTTTTAGAATTGCTACTATAGTATATACTAGCGATCCACTCCGGCTTCGCACGGGTAGTATTTTATATTAGCTTAAATTTTGGGTTACTGTAACTTTCGTAATTTTTTTTTGCCTATTATATTTGTCGATAATGTAGTTTTTTTTATAGATGAAAGAATTAAAATCGGTTGAGTAGTTTTTGAGTTTATACATTACAAACAAACGATCAAATATTTCCTCATTATAGCACTAGCAATCCGGCCCGGCTTTGCACGGGTACATAAAATTTTCCTAAATAATCCGTACCCTACTGTGAAATACAGGTCACATATACTGTTTATAGTTTTTATATGACTATTTAGCAAATTCCAAATTGATATGCATCTCTATTGTTTCGTTTTGACTTCCCTTCACGACCCTAGTCTACTAAGTTCTTTTCACCAATATACATACCTACATATATATAATAAGGGTAGGAATATATATATATATATATATATATATATATATATATATATATATATATATATATATATATATATATATATATATATATATATATATATATATATATATATATATATATATATATATCCAATTTACATTCCCGGTTCCCTTTCTCGCCCACATCTATGTTACTCAGGGATAATGTAGCATTCTAACGGCGAAAGAATTTTTGAAATCACTCCTGTAGTTTATTAGTTACAAACATACAGAAATACAAATCTTTCCTCTTTATATTATTAGTATAAATTTATAATACAAGTATAAATTAACCTTTATACCGCCCTCAGTCGGATTTATCCGGCAAAGGTTATAAAGCCCGTAACATCCGTGTCGTGTTGTTTTGACTTGTACGAAAGCGAACTTGTATTGTTGTAAGTTTTTTTTTTTTAATATTTAATTATAGAATCAAAGTTTAGTTTTTTTTTTATATAATTTAGAATGGCAAACAAGCTGACGGCCCACCTGATGGAAAGTGGTAACCGCCGCCTATAGACATGAGCAGTAGCATGGACATAACAGAGCATACCGTTTCGCCCATGATACCCCCCATGCGTTGTCATTCCTGAGGACTCAGGTGTTATTCCTCCGTACACAGTAAATTCACGCCATATCCCACCCTTCAAACCGAAACACAGCCATGCAAACACAACTGCTTCACGGTTGAAACAATAATATAGTAATATTTAAAAATTACTTGTCATAGACTAAAACGTATAATGTAAATTTGCTTACTTGAGTCGAGAGTTTTTTTAAGGGGGAAAATGGAATGGTAACCCCGCCACGCTATCGGTATACGCTGGCGGAGCACCAGTGAGTAATGATAGGTGAGGATGAAAGCACGATGGTTTCCAAGGGGAACCGCATGGAGGTCAACCTGATAAGGTACATTGCTAGCAATGGAGCTGTTAGACCCCGTTACTAACAATCCCTTTCCACCACACAACAATCACACCCATACCACGACCAACAGTCTAACAGTTTGAGAACCGCTGCTTTAATACAATAAATAGTACGTGTTAACCCACCTCAAACTGTGCACTGAATGTCTTGAAGACACCCTCCCAGACTCCGCCAGATTTGGTTAGCACTTGAACTATATCACCAACGTGTGTGGTAGCTGCGTGCATGAAGTGCGCGTTGTTGTACACGCCATCCGGCACTACGCGGCTTCTCGGGGACCTGTGACAAATAATAACAATAAATAAAGTTAAAAAAGTAAAAAACGTTAAATAAAGTATGGACATGGTTGGGTATAAGGTCAGAGGAAGACCTAAAAATACATAGACTTAATAAAGAAAATGATATGGCCAGAGTGGGAGTCTATGCGGAAATGGCTGCGAATGGTGAAGAGATGCGAATGGAAGGGAAAAATGTATTACGGCGATCTCAAATAAAAATTGAGTTACGGGTAGAAAGATGTGACGTTGTTGGCGGCTTGTGACAAATAACAATACCTAAATCGACGTTTTTGGCAGTCTGTGACAATTAATAATAGTAATAAGAAAAATATTAAATATGGATGTGGATGGCTATAAGGACAGAGGAAGACTTAAAATACATAAATGGACTGTGTGACAAATATTATGGCCAGAATGGGACTATATGTGGAAATGACTGCATATGAGAAAGAATGGAAGAGAAAAACATTTTACGCCGAATACATAATAATTGAGATAAGGATAGGAAGATGTGACGTTCTTGGCGATTTGTGACAATTAGCAATAAATCGACGTTTTTGGCAGTCTGTGACAAATAATATTATTATTTGTCACATATAAATACTAAATGTCGACTCATTATTGAACCTTGCATTCATTGTGCCCTGTGACAAATAAGAAGTCGACGCTCTTATCGTCTTGAGATAGATAATAAGTAGGCATTCTTGGTAACCAGTAATAATAGGTCGACAATTGTGACGACCTGTGACAAAATATGATAATTGAATTTTTTAATTGTCGTTGTATATTTTTATGTTTCTGGTGCAATAAAAAGTTAAATAAATAAAAATCTCGACGTTCTTGTCAATTGGACAAGTAATAAAAAATAATAAATCGACATTCGTGGGAATCTGTGACAAATAATAATAATAAGTCGATCTTTTTACCAACTTGAGACAATAAATCGATGTTCGTGGCAATCTGTGACGAACAATAAGTCGACACCACTGGCGACCTGTGACAAAATAATAACTCGACCTTCTTGCCAACCCGAGACAAATAATAAATCGACATTCGTGGCAATCTGTGACGAATAATAAGTCGACATTATTGGCGACCTGTGACAAATCATAAGTATTTTTAGATGATAATAGAAAGGAAACCCTGTCCGCGCTATCGAAATACGAAGAGCACCTTGAGGGATAATAAGCGAGGATAGAACGGACCGCACTGTGAAGATCTGACAAAGTACAGTAAGCAATGGGGGTGCCTGATCCGATTAATTACTAACAAAACTCTTCTATCCAATAAGAAGTGTCACAGATCGAAAGCAACTGCTTGGTTCTCAAGCTAATATACATAGTGCAATGATAAACTAGGTAACCGACATCTGAGGGCGCCACTTGGAACGCCCAAGTGAATTTAAATTATTTTGTAATGAAATTTCTAAACTGTATCCAGTTTTGTTTCCTTATTGTATAGCAATTATAATTTTTTTTTATACGACTTAGAATGGCAAACAAGCTGACGTTCCACCTGATGTAAAGTGGTAACCGTCGCCTATAGACATGAGCAGTACCATGGGCATAACAGAGTATATATTTTAGCCCATGATACCCCCCATGCGTTGCCATTCCTGGGGACTCAGATGTTATTCCTCTGTACCCAGTAAATACACGCCATTCATAAATAATAATGAGTGCATTATTTATCAGCAAATAACTGTACGATTACAAATTACAATGACCTATAGCGATGATGTTGATAACAGTGCGCGGGAAACGGCGATAAACTCTGTTAGAAATCGCTGTTAGAACGATAGTCACAAAAGGTCAAGGAGCGATGAATTTTAAACACAAAAAAAAAAAAAGAAATTGTAAAAAGAATTGTGTTTTTGTTCTAGCAATATATGTATTACCTGTTAAAATTAAATGTCAAATTATTTAAAAGACAGAAAGAAAGAAATAATTTAATAAAAGAAGCATGCGACTCACACAGTAGCATATAAAACAAGAACAAAAGAAACAAAATAAAAAAAAGACCTTAGTATACATATAAAAAGCGTGTGCTCAATTAAAGTTTAAATTAAATAAATAAATAAATAAACAGTAGGATAACTCTTGAATTTAATATCGATATCAATCCAATCTTTTTTTTTTTGATGGGTGAAAATGGTATGGTAGCCCCGCCTGCGCTAACGGGATACGCTGGCGGAGCAACAGTGAAGGGTGATAGATGAGAATGAAAACAGGCCAGGTTAGTCCATCATGATAAATTCATTATGAATTAACCATGATAGTTACCAGGGAGAACCGCGAGGAGGTCGACCTGGTTGGGTATATTGCTAGCAATAGGATTCTCAGTCTCCATTACTAATAATCCCTTTCCCCCTAGGAATTGGGTTAGAATTCGGATCGATATGCAATAGTTTATATTGGCAAATTATACTAATATGTATTCATTAGAACAATATAAAACTTTTTAGTTGCTATTGTCACAATTCAAGAAAGTGCGAAAAGTGCGAAACATCGGCGTAATATGTTTTTTATTGAGGGGAAAGGGATTGTTAATAATGGAGACTGAGAATCCCATTGCTAGCAATATACTCAACCAGGTCGACCTCCTCGCGGTTCTATCATGGTTAATTCCTGATGAATTCATCATGATGGGCTAACTGGCCCGTTTTCATTCTCATCTATCACCCTTCACTGGTGCTCCGCCAGCGTATCCCGTTAGCGCAGGCGGGGTTACCATACCATTTTCATCCATAAAAAAAAAAAAAGATTTTTATTCATATAAACATCTCAATTTAACAAAAAATAATAATAATAAAATAAAGATAAGAAATTCGTTCAATAACTGACGGAGATATTAGGTAACAACTTAAAAAAAAAAATACTACCGAATCGAAATCCTCAATTTTTTCAAGTCGGTTGCAAATGCCAATTTCCAGTAAATTCCAGTGTATTCATATCTACAGGTTTATTGGCATCTTTCGAATCCGTTTTGATATTAATCAAACGGGTTTAATTACAGTAATGCTCCTGATTGTGTTGGAAACCCTGAAATCGACTGTAAACACGTGGGCCTCGCGACATAACACGAAGCAAATATATTAACGTACCTAAACGCTTGCGTCTTTGTTGTCTGGAGTGGAGAACATGCGATACGTAATGCGAATGACAAAAAAAAAAAATTGATAAGACTAGAATTTTTTTGTCAACCGACTTCAAAATTATTTTATTAGCCATTGAATGACAAATGTGTATGATGTTAGTCGATCATGCACGGGCCTTTAACTACCACGCAATTTTAGATATAGTACATTTAAATACACATAATGTTAAGAGATTTAAAAGATTAACTGTTGAGTTTTTTTGCAGGCTTTTCTCAACAAATAACAAGTTTCCGAACTATGAAGTAGATTAAGAAAAAATGACAATTTTAAAGTACTTGTAAACAAGACTATTTGATTAGGGAGACTCTAAACTTGAATGTATTTGTATTTTTTTTTTGTTTATTCCCTCATTATTCGAATCAAGAATTCTCCAAATCCGTTTACAATGTCAATTGTGAATTCCTTTTTATTTGAAAAGATATTACAGATTTTTACCATAGAAATTTAAAAAATTAGAACCGATTTTAATTTTGAAATCAAAATTTGTCGGGGGAAAGGGATTGTTAGTAATGGAGACTGAGAATCCCATTGCTAGCAATATACCCAACCAGGTCGACCTCCTCGCGGTTCTCCCTGGAAACTATCATGTTTAATTCCTGATGAATTCATCATGATGGGCTAACTGGCCTGTTTTCATTCTCATCTATCACCCTTCACTGGTGCTCCGCCAGCGTATCCCGTTAGCGCAGGCGGGGTTACCATACCATTTTTACTCATCAAAAAAAAAAAAAAATAACAAAATTTGTCTTTGCCACAATTGAAGTAGTTTTTTCAGGTGGCCTATTCTATGCTGGGACCACACGGCCGCAGTTTATTTAATATATAAGATTATTGTGGAAACTTCACTGATATATTACTATATTTATTATTTATATGTTATATATTGTATGTTTCCCCAATAAAGTAAAAGTGAAGACATTAGGAGTATTTATATAAGAAATAAATTGAAGCAATTTAAAATTAGAAGTATAACATGTTAATTAATATATTAATATTATAACGTAACAGTTTCATTAATGTTTACGTAAACTATGTATTTTGATGACTCTCTAATGACTGACAAATACTGCCTGCAAACATTTGCAAGCTACTGAATATGGCGAAACATACTAGATATTAAAAAACAAATTGTGTCAACTTATTATGTAACTATGCTGCCAAATAAATTATTATTAATAATAAATGCAACAAAACCACATCTACCACTTGGCCTTCAAGCTAGGATGCCCTGTGTCATGGGGAACCAAGCAACTAACGTCTAGTGTTACAACAGGACACTCAAGACTCGAGCCAATAAAGAATTATTAACATGTGGCACAAAATGACATCTGTCACTTTGTCATCAAACTAGGATGTCCCGTGTCATGGGGAACCAAGCAGCTTATGTCTAATGACATAACAGAGACCACATAAGACTGGAGCCAATAAAGAATAATTAACAAGTGGCACAAAATGACATCTGCCACTTGATCATCAAATGAGGATGCCATGTGTCATGGGGAACCAAGCAACTAACGTCTAGTGGCACAACACTCAGACTCGAGCCAATAAAGAATTATTAACAAGTGGCAAAAAATGACGTCTGTCACTTGGTTATCAAACTAGGATGCCATGTGTCATGGGGAACTAAGCAGCTAACGTCTAGTGGTACAACAGGACACTCAGACTTGAGCCAATAAAGAATTATTAACAAGTGGCACAAAATGACATCTGCCACTTGATCATAAAACTAGGATGCCATGTGTCATGGGGAACCAAGCAGCTAACGTCTAGTGACACAACACAGACCACTCAAGACTGGAACCAATAAAGAGTTATTAACAAGTGGCACAAAATGACGTCTG